GAAGGAGGCATGCCAAAAATATATACAGAGTATGCCTGAACGGTGTGCAGCTGTTATTAAAGCTAAAGGGCGTTGGACAAACTATTAAATCCTTGAAATAAACATTACTTTATATTATGTTATGATCGCCGTCAAAATTGGTCGCATGTACCGTCTGATTTTGAACGCATGTCGTAGCAGCTACATTCATCCAATCAGGGCATGTCATATATCATTTGATAGCTTTCGAAATAAGCTTTCAGATGATATAGCATACATGGTATATTGGGGCATACGGAAGTATGCACAGACGTAAGTTTCCAAAAAGTGAAAACATGCGACCAATTTTGACGGCTACTGTATATGAATCTTGAAGAATTAGAAGTCGATGATATTGAATTTGAAGAGGAAGATACAATTATGGAAGAATTTCCTAGAAAAATAAAAAACATAAACATCCTGTTATAATAATAGAAGATCATAAGAATTAAAGATTTTTATAATACTATATTTATTTTATCAATACTCAAATTTTAAATAACGAAAAAAAACCCTAATGGGTTTATATATTTTTAATGGGTTCAGGAAAAACTTTTTGTGTTTATTCATCTATGCCACGTTATATAATGCTATAACTACACAACATTCTAAACGGTTTTCGTTCAATAGCATTATATAACTAGATGGATATTTTTATATTTTTATTTCTATTTCTCTTATTTATATACTTATTATTCCTCAGTAATCCTCATTGGAATAGTTAAGTTACTATCATAACGTGATAGTCTCGTCTACCTGGCCAGATAATATTTTTTGATTTTTTATTAAATTTTTTTAATTTTTTTGATTTTTTATTAACTTTTTAATGACGTCATAAAAGTCAGAATTTCCGTGTATTGCGCGCTGCAATTTAAGATAACAGTTAGCAAGGAAACATTCAGCGGTTGGGCCATTCCATTGATACGATTTACCTCCCCGTTTGATCTAACGTATTAAACTTAAAACTGCATACACTTTCATTCCTATAACAACTAACGCCAGATGGAATCTGTAAATTAACATATACAGTGGGTGAAAAAACTCTAAACACGCAAGCAGATTTTTCGGTTTTTTAAGCACTGCATCACCATTTCGTCACGCAGAAGGCTCAAACTTTTAGCAAAGAACCTTATTATCGTTTACAGCAATGTGTATAAATTTAAGACTCCGAAATTACGTGTACCCGTAGCAATCAATGTTCAAAGTCAGACGGTCGGTTTTTAGAGTTTCTTCACTGCAACATATTTATTAGAAAATGAATTTAATAACGGGTTGAGCCACCACTGGCGTCAATAACTGCTTTAATACGGTCAGGCATACTATCAATGTACTTTCTACAATTGTCTTTTGTGAAAGAGTTCCATTCCTTTTCTACTCTTTCCCACAATTCATGGACCCCTTTAGCTTTGGTATCATACATGGAAAGTTTGAGCTTTAGATGATGCCAC